GACCGTTTGCGTAGCACTACTTGTGAAGTCCCCCATTCATTTGTTCATGACTTAATAACTGTTGTTCAAATTACAAAATAAGAATCTCAACAGAAAAAAAAAAGGGGAAAAAAAAAGAAAAAAAAAGATTAATTAAACATGAGTACCATCCACCTATATAAGGTCAAAACGCATATATATATATATATATATATATATATCCTTTAAAATGAGGCGATTTGGAATTTCAGTGAATTCATAATTAGTTTCTAATGGGTCAATTCAATTGAGTGCAACGAGCATATTTGAGTTAAGCACAGATCTCATAGTTTTATTCTATTGATTCTCATGGTGTAACAGACTAGTATAGCTTAAAATGTATGGAGTACAACATAGGAACAAAAAAAACTGGTGTACCAAGATCCTCTGATCACAGCCGAGCTACATAGGAATTAGCTTGTGTGACATATCTCACCCAACGATATGCTTTGTGGCCATCTGACTTCCTTGCCATCAGCAAGTACTTTACCTGAATCACACAACACAGATGTAACAAAATCATTCAAGTCAGCCTAACGGTGGAAAAACTAAGGATGTGCACATGGAAACCCAAGAGGTCCGTTAGGGATCATGGTGTTTCATTTCTACACCAGGCTGACTTAGTTCTTTATGTTTTCCATGTATATATGTTCATCAATATATACATATATAGTAGGGATTCATTCATCTCTTTACTTTCAATGATTGATATTTATTCACATTTATTAAAGACATTTATTAAAGATAATTATCTTTTTCATCTAAAAAATCATAATAAATTTCAACCATTGGAAGTGCAGAGATGAATGATTAAAATTTTTTTGTGTATATGAGGTAAACCTTGTGTCTAAGTGAATCTCTCCTCTATATATATATATATATGTTTTCCATATATATCGGCACATAACTAGATACCTCATTTCAGTTTATGTTAAGAGGTCAATTTAGTTTTAATTCTTAGCTGTACTATGTGTTGTTGAATCCTATTGATGCAGTAAGGGGTAATTACTGATTAGACTGCATTAGATGGAAGAGACCGTAGGCAAGATGAACACAAACATCTCAAACTACTAATGCATTTATATGAAAGGAAAGGAAAGGACCAACATCACTAAGAATGGCCGGAAAAACTCAATTGTGCAACCTTATCATGTATTAGCATCATAATACAAAGTTCCCACCAGTATAACTTAATTTAGAATGTGTTGCTCTTGTGCATCTTTCAAACAATAAAAATGAGATTTTATATTTCCTTTTGGGGCCAAAAAACAGAAATAGTTGAGAGATTTTAATTTAGAAGGTCAAAAATATTATTGAGTTTGTAAACATAACAATGGGCTGATTTCTGTCAAAACCAAGGACAAACAAGAGCTTACCTGAAGTCTGGAAACATTGTACATGGGGATCGTGAAAGTCATGCTCACTGGTCCAGCTTCCTTTGTAATATTTCCTACATCAGATAATTACAAAATTTATAACACTTAATACATACTAAGAAAAAAGTGAAAAGTAAAAAATTAAAATCGAAGAATATCACACCATGTGGCTCTTGTGAAAATGTCAACTTTGCACGTAGAGTATGTACAGAGCCACCAACAATCTACAACATGTGATAGCTGTGAGTAAAATGCATTGGAGTGGAGAAAGCTTGCTACAAGTCAAACAAATTGACAACGAATAAACCTTCTAGCAACACCAACAATAGTTCACAACGGAAAGTAGAAAGTAATTAAGAAGTAATCAAGAGAGGGTCTTTTAAGTTCTACCTTCTCTAAACCCCATTCAAGTCTCTTGTTTGATTCCTTAAAATCAGTTGTGTTTCCAACTGCTCCAGGCTCCAACTCAAAGCTAACCCTGAAATTTGCAAAAAGAACATAGCATTGAATCTTGTCAATTTACTCTTGACAAAATGCTAGATGGGTTTCCCAAAATAACCAAAAAAAAGGGAAGCTAGATGGAGTACACAGAAATACCTAGTTGTATATGTAGGAAGTGGCATCTGCACTAGAACAGTATTTGCACTAATGCTTGATAAGAATTCAGCATGGACTTTCAAGATCACTTCAGCCTGAGAAAAAATAGAGAAGGTACAGTACATAATAAACTAGAATTTAAAATCTAAACCATGAAACAAAGCATTTTCCTTACTTTTAGGGGACCTGCTTCTTCAATCAATGCATTAATACGAAAAGGTGGTTTAAATTCCTGAGTTATACGGTAGTTCATGACGGAAAACTCACCATCTGGTGGTACCTGTTGGGAAGTGATTGGAAACACTTGGCTCAAGACAAATGATGGGCAAGCTATGGATTTGTGATTAACTCATACTCACCAGAGTTAGAGTTCTGTCAACCTCAAAATTATCAAGTTGTACCGATTCATGAAAATTACAATCATCTAGAATAACTGGCCCTGATCCAGATGAACTTCTATAATCTGCAAAAGGACAAAAAAGTAATATATATATATATATCATCCTGATGAACTTCTAATATGTCCTTGACCCACCCGTCATTGTTTACCATGAAAGCCGAAGCTAAAAGAATGAAAACAAAATTATATCAATGTCCCAGAGACACAAGTTCCATAGTCAAAAAGAAGTATGGCTTGTGCAATTAAATTCTTAAAAATTTTAAAGAACTTAAGGGTAACTGACATCCCCTTAAGGAAAGCCACAAAAGAAATTATCAAAATATTTTTTCTTTTTAAAAGACAATAAAAAAAATAAGCTTTGAGTAGAGAACTGGTGAAATACCATATATTGACCTTCCCTCTCTTCCTATACTTAAGTCCTCGTTAAGAGCAAGCCGAATCTCTGGATTTCCTGTAAGAAAACTCTTCATTTGGATTGTCCCATCAATCTCAGAAGTAAGTATATACCCCTGTACAAAAATATATATTTTAATTAAACCAAAAGGACATACATTTATGTAAACATAAACTCAAAAGGAAAGGGAAAAGAATCAAATAAAAAGATGAGCAATACATGACATGACACTAATAATAAATAGATAGATAGTGACAAATTAAAAGAATTTTAATTACTAAGAAGTAATATGAATGAAATGAGAAACTGGTGCTGGGTCTTAGGGTAACACAAATATGATGGCCACAATGTTTAGGCAAATAATAAAGGTACTCACACTTGAGCTGAATGTGACGCTTAATTTCTCTATTATGTCCACAAAAATTTCCTCCCTCTTCCTACCTCCAGGCTCATTTGCAACAACAGATTTTGTAACAGCAGTCCCTGGCATTTTGGTCCCTTGCTGCAGGCATGATTGCAAGAAATCAATTAAAGAACATATGGGCTTGTAAATTGCAACTAATGGACAATAAGACAAATACCAAAGGTATGTGATTGGTTGTAAACTATTACCATAAAAATAGCAGCTGGACCAAGGTTTGGTATGCGGGCAGCATCAATAATAATTGGTTCATTAAATACATACGACTTCAAAATCTCAGTTGATGTTGTTTGCACATACCCAAAATCCTGGGACAAAAAGGTAGAAAGTAACTCTAAGTTCTAAGTATGGAATTAATTCATACCCTGAATCTATCCTGACATAGGGAAATAAATAAAATAAAATGAATTAGAGGGAGAATCAAGCAGATGAAAATATCTTGATAACAAGGTCGAGCACTAAAGGTTCCCAACTCCCTGCTCCCACTCTTGGAAGCAAAAAAAATATATATATATATATATATATATTTCAGTAAATTATTGACTAACTTATTTGGCAATTGGCATGTTGGGATCAATGCTATCCTAACATACAATGGGCTCAAAGAAATAAACATAGAAAATTAAATCCTTCAACAAACAAAAGTGTTAACTTGCAAGCAGCAATGAATCTCTAACCAATATTGGGAATTGCAGGGGTGCATTCCAGTGATTCAATACAAGAAGCTACCCTTGGACAATAAATCAATTAAGGATTGGCTGATTGGTTCACCAACAAGAGCATACTTACAATGACTTCATCCAGCAACTCATAGACAAGCACAAAGTTCTTTCGCAATGATTCTTCATTGAGAACCCCCAGGTAATCTTTGATAACACGTGCAATTCTTTGTAAAAGTTCCAATACAAGAGAAGGTGACACATTAACCCTTGTTGTCGCAACAAATAATAACCCAGCAACCTTCACATGAAAGTAGTTGACTCCATCCACATTCTATTGGCAATGACAAGCAAACAGGAGAAAATTATATGGGAATACATTAAAGGCAACAATTTTCAGAATAAGATACAGTTTTCAGCATTGAACTAAATGGTCTGGTACACAAGTATCTTGATTCAGAGATAAAACATACTGCCAAACAAGCTTCATGGAGAAAATACCTACAAATACAGGTGGTGCATCCCCCTCTCCATCATCCTTCCAGAACTTTACTTTCCGGAAAAATATCTCAGCACTTCCTTTCTGCTGCATCTCACCACGATCTGCATTGGTTTAAGAAAACAATAATCATTAATATATACAAAAAACAGCCAAAATGTCCATGCTTTAACTAAAAAGCTTGTAACTTCATGCACTGAGATATACAGCAAGAGATGAAATTATTCCCGTGATCATCTCGGCAGCTCATTTTGGACATTTAAAGGGCGTTATTACCCTCAATTCTACAAGTCAATCATGAAAGAAAGCATTTTTCTAGACCGAATCAAACGGAATTAAGAATTAAGAACACACATAGACACAGAAATCAAATGCTTTCGGCTTAAAGCAGATCAAAGATCAGCGGAATTTCGTAGTTTCAGCAAAGGAATAGCTTATAATACATGCATGCAATCAACGAAGTGAGCAAACAAACAGAATTGAATTGGACATTAGGACAGATGAAACAGTGAAGAGACTGACAGTCACGGAAGACGATGTTGTCGCCTCTCTGCGACAGCACAAAGAACTGCGAAATCATAGCTAACACCTCGCCGTCTCACCGGACACCGCTGCGAATATCGTTTCCGTTTGATCTTTGTACAAGTTCGACTCAATTTGGCTTATTCACCAAACAAAATACACCCAAATTTGCATTCTCAAATAGTAAATAACAACTTAAGCTTAAAATTATATTTATAAATTCACACACCACGCAAGCGGGGATAGCTCAGTTGGGAGAGCGTCAGACTGAAGATCTGAAGGTCGCGTGTTCGATCCACGCTCACCGCAAATTGTGTTTTCCTTTTTTTCTTCAACTTGATTGAATAAACACCGAAACACGAATATTCTTTTTCCAACACTAGTGATTCTGTCGAAATACATTTTAACGACGCTGTATCGGTAGACACCTGTCGTTTCGGACAAAGATCAACTAGCTAGTGGGGCCCACATTAAAAAAAATATCCAATTTATCCAGTATCAGTTATTACAGGAAGCGAAACTCGGGGAGTGGGAAATCCGATTTTAGATATTTGCCGGAAATAAAAATAAATCCAAAAATCCACGTTTTGTTACTGGCGTCTCTGATCGCGACGAGACAACGAATCTTCCTAGCTGTTAGTATCACATCGAGCTCTTCGTACACGATGATTCCTATTTCAATCGGATTCCTCTGAGTTCAAGAAATCGGAAGTTTCCGGCTTCAGACTGAGATCAGTCCGGCGATGTGGTTCTAATTAGGGTTTTGGCAGTGAAAGAATGGGGTTTTAATGGAGGAGTTGAGTGATTTTGGTTTAGTGAAATCCATCGGGTTCCAGATGTTTCTGGTCCGCGGGAAAATGAGGCGGAAAGTGTAAAGTTCGGCTTTTTTTTTTCTTTGTGCTCTGAAGAAGAATCGCTAAGAGGGTATCGAAGCTGGTAAGGATGAATTTTTCCCTTAGCACTTCATGCGTCACTAAAAAAGGAAAGGGATTTCTCTGCGTCCGTTTTGCTTTTTCTTTAATTGTGTCGTGAAGTTTACCCATCTCACTGTAAGCTAAAAGGGGAGGTCGTGACTCAAAAAAGGAAAATCGGAAAAGTGGATTGCAATAGAAACTATTAGAATTTTATACTTCAATTGTGAAATTGGATCCATTCTTTCCTTTTTAGTCAAGGGCTTCCTGTTTAGTTATATCAGTGTAATTGTTGAAGCATTGAAATAATGGAAAATGTTTTGTTTCATATTAACAAATATAATTCATTGTGGATACTGTTTTTATGAGTTAGCTAGTCATGACATAAAATTTGATGGGGTTATTTTGTTTTGTTTGTGATGAAAAGCAGGAAATGGCAACTCCTGTGGATCCTCCAAATGGGATTAGGTATCAAGGGAAGCATTACTTTTTAATGTGGCAAACATTGTTTGAAATTGATACTAAATATGTGCCAATCAAGCCTATTGGACGAGGGGCCTATGGGATTGTGTGCTCTTCGGTGAACAAGGAAACCAATGAGAAAGTTGCAATTAAGAAAATACACAATGCTTTTGAGAACCAGATTGATGCGTTGAGGACTTTGCGTGAATTGAAGCTTCTGAGACATCTGCAGCATGACAATGTGATTGCTCTTAAAGATGTGATGATGCCTGTTCATAGGAGAAGCTTCAAGGATGTGTATCTAGTTTATGAACTCATGGATACTGATTTGCATCAGATTATCAAGTCTTCTCAAGCACTTACAAATGATCACTCCCAATATTTCCTCTTCCAGGTATGTATATATCTCCGCTGGTAAAATTGGCATTTTACTGTCTTATAGCATAAGAACCTAGTCATCAGCTCCACTGCAAAGGTTTGTGAACAATATTGTAAACCACTATACATCACAAACTCATTCATCCAGTGAACTGGGGAGGAGCTCATATCATCCATATGGATAACTGTTGCTACTATGTAGCATTACCTTTTCACCTAAATGCAGTTTGGCCTTTACTAATTTGGCAGTGGCAGAGAACAGTGAGGAACATAATTCTTGGTTGTTAAGGGATGAATACTTTTAAGAGATTTATGTCTCTTTCAGCTTTTGAGCTTTATGAAATTCTTCCAGTCTGATGGATCAAGCAAAATTTTAGTTAGTTTGTTCACCTTTTGAGAGGAACCAGTATCACAGGGCAATATAAAGCATAAACACAGAATTATACATGATATTAGAATGAATGTTGTAGTGTTGTACGGTTTGCAACTTGAGTATCATTTTCTTTGAAGCGTGAGTGAGCTTATCTTAAAATAGCTGCTTCTGTCAGACTCCACCAGGTCACATTATCAGGGAATATTAAAATCTTCCTTTATGTATCTTTCTTGTTTCCAACTACATAACCTTTTTTATAACACTACCTTTCTAGTCATCAATTAATCATTTGCTACATTTCCTTTTTTAAAGGAGAAACTCTAAAGGGATATGTTATCATCTGATAAACATCTCATCTGCTTACTGTTATTTTGGATATAACTTTCTGAAATATACGGGTCAATTATAGGAGAAGTCATTGAAGAGATGTCAAAATTCTGGATATGTTTACTTTAGGGCCTTACTGTGGTATTAATTCATACTTCCTATGCAGTTGCTTCGAGGCCTGAAGTATCTCCACTCAGCAAACATCCTCCACCGTGACTTGAAGCCTGGGAATCTTCTCATCAATGCAAACTGTGACCTGAAAATATGTGACTTTGGGTTGGCACGCACTAGCAATGCCAAGGGCCAATTAATGACAGAGTATGTTGTGACCCGTTGGTACAGGGCTCCTGAGCTTCTACTTTGCTGTGACAATTATGGGACGTCCATTGATGTGTGGTCTGTTGGATGCATCTTTGCTGAGCTTCTTGGGCGGAAACCTATCTTCCCTGGCACAGAATGCCTCAACCAACTTAAACTCATCATCAACATCCTTGGCAGCCAGAGGGAGGAGGATCTTCTATTTATTGACAATCCTAAAGCAAAGAAATACATCAAATCACTCCCATTTTCCCCTGGGATACCCTTTTCCCAACTGTACCCCCATGCTGAACCTTTAGCAATTGACTTGCTGCAAAAGATGCTTGTTTTTGACCCTACAAAGAGGATTAGTGTCACTGAAGCACTCCAACACCCTTACATGGCTCCCTTGTATGATCCCAGCTGCAACCCTCCTGCCGAGTTGCCAATTGATCTTGACATAGATGAGGATCTAGGGGAGGAGATGATAAGGGAGATGATGTGGAAAGAAATCCTTCACTACCACCCAGAAGCGCCAACAGTCAATGCTGAGGTGTGATAGTTTTTTTCCCTCTTCTCAGTTATAAAGATGAGCCTGTGTGGTTGATTTGCCTTTGACAAACAGGGAAGTTGTATTTTAGCTTTCTATTTATGTTTTTCTTTTCCCTTTCACTTTGGATCATAATAATCACAATGAAAGTCATGAAACCCTACCGTTGTTATGCATAACATGACTAGTTGTCTCAGAAGACTTTTCACAAACTGGAGTTCTGTAATGTAAAGCCCTCCCAACTTTGTATATTAGGGTGCTGTTGTATGTGACGGTGAACTTGACAACTTCTTGTAAATTAAGGTCAGACATGTATTCAATCTACTGTCTTACGGGGCTGGTTGTGTGTGTGGTTGGGGGGTGGTTTCAAAATTTTTTGGGTGAGCACATCATGGTGTTTCTGTTTTAAACTCAGGATCGGCCAGCTTGGGGCAATGGCCCATGCCGCCCATCCATGCCACAAACTTAATAACTCGGTGGCCCAGCCAAGGAAAACTGGGCTTTTTCTGGATATCATGTGCTATCTTCTTGGACAACAGCCTAATATCCCAGAATTGAATTTCAGGCCCAAAGTTCTCGACAGAGACACAATCCTGTCGTCTCTTTTTCTTTCAAGTGGCCCCACTTGTCCACCAGAACAGACTTTCGCCCATGTCCCGCAGCCGTCAAACTCGGCGTCTTTCAGCCAACAACCCACTTGCCTTCGAGGGGCCCAAAGGAAAAAAAGACCTCTAGAATGGAATTTGGCAATGTGACTTGAAATTGCAATTTTACACCCTTTGAAGTGAGGACAAAGTTCTAAATATGAGGGTTAAGCATTTTTAATTTAGGCAAAACTTCACATTAAGCCCTTGAATTGACTCTATATTCTTAATTAAGTCCCTAAATTTTTTTAAAAGAAGATAAACCCCTAAACCGCATGATTTATGCAATTCTGCCCTCTTTTATGTCTTTCTTTATCTACAACTTTACAATCTACTGTTAAGAATAGGGCAAATTTGCATAGATTGTGAGGTTTAAGAGTTTATTTATTTTAAAAAAAATCTAGAGACTCAATTAAAAATATAAGATCAATTCATGAGCTTAACGTGGAGTTTGGTTTTTAATTTAAAAGTATTTTACATTTTGGAGACTAACTATTGGGTTCCTCTATTTAATGGTTAATATTTCACAATTTAATATTATTCCAAATTATATCAAACTTTTTAAAATTTTTATGGATGTAATGTGTCTTTTTCTATATATATAATGTAGATACAGTATGACTTGCATTACCAGGAATCATAATTTAATAAAAATAATTTCTATCAACTCTTATATAAAAAGAAAAATTATTATATGTCGAACGAATCCCAGTCAAAACACAAAATACATGCTTGGTCCTTGTTGTGCCATTTTTTGTCACTTGTTATGGGAAATGAGGAATATATGGTCTAATAAAAACAAATAAAGATGTTTTCTCCGTAGGGGAAACTTCATGGACACTAAAGTATGGTACGGTTTATGGTTTCTTTGTTAGCTTCTAGAGCCATCCTATTATTTAATATATCAAATGTCCCATATGTTTTGATTAATTACAGAAAAGCAGCCATTGTTTAGAGTAACCCATTTTATGCTACATTTTCTTATTGTTTTCCACTCCTTTTATTGACTAAATTTCATGTTTTTAGGGGAATGCATCCATGACATTTCAGTCAAAATCATTGAATTAACTTCCTACTGTCTTTGCACTTGGGCCTCCTAGTCTAGTGACGTCAGGTCACACGTAAGCATATTCTCTCACCCTAAAACAACGTTCGAATTCAACTTCTTGCGAATTTGTTAAAAAAAAAAAATTAACTTCCTACTATCTTTACTTGACTTTAATTTAATTAGCACGCAATTAGAATTAGATTCTACTCTTTATTTTGCCTCAAGAACTATATTCTTTGCATATGCTTATCGTGCAGATTGCTCTTTCAAATTGAAAATACATGTTTATTCCGTTTTATATTATTTTTCATCTTCTGGGTCGGCATGGATTCTGGACAAACCACTTTTGAAGGTTAAAACTGCAGGTTCCCTCAAGAAAGACTACTTTCTCTTTTTCCCTAGCTAGTTTCTGGTTTAATTTACATACCTGCTGTTGTTCTTTCTAGGCAACTTTATTCCCCTAGACTTGGGAACATTTACATAGTAATTAATGATATTTGCATGATGAAGAATCAAAGATATATATGAATTTGCCTTCACAGTGAAGGCAAATTTTCAGAGAAGGACAAGTGAAAAGAAGGTTGGTACGTAACCAGAACAAGGGAAGACGATATGAAAGCTCCATTAGTACGGTTGTATTCTCTCTTTACACTGTTACCATGCACGATTCTGAGCTTTTTCTTTTTTCCTTGAGAAGATTTTTTTTCTATTGAGGAAGATGACAACAAAAACAAAGATGGAGATACATAGTTACACTTTTTGCTGGCGTGGTATGCTCTTCTTAAACTAAAGCAATGGTCTACAAATTAATTAACCAAAGCCGCATGTGGTTAGGTGGAACTAATTTTTTTTACAGTACGGGAGTTCAAATCTCTGTAAATCTCTGCAATAAACGAACAAATTTGCCAAGAAGAAAACTATTGTTTTAATTGGAATTGAGTTGTAACATGATTTTGGATTAAGGGTGAATCGATAAATATATTCAAAGGGAAAAGGGAACTGTGACACCAACCGGCACGGTGAGAAAAAGCTTTGCCCAAAGATGCTGGGAAAAAGGAGGATATAAGGAATGCATGTGAAAATCATTGGAGGAAATATTGTAAATTTTGTAACAGAGGATATTATTTGAATCTAGACATGCTTTTCTAAAGCTAAATAGTACCCTGTTTCTGACCCTACCTACCGTGCTCTGCCTATATGCATTTTGCTGTGCCATTGCTTGAAATTGAAAATGAAAGTTTTCTCAAAAAAAAAAAAAAAAAAGTTATTTCCAAGAAGAAATGGTCTCTACTTAAAATCGAAACAGGTTCAGAAAAGAGCTTTACTTTTGAATTCTCTAAATTTAAAAGAAAAAGGAAAAGATTGAATGCAAAAATCAGAAAACAACAAAGCTAGAATTATCTAGGAAATATTAGTGGGCCTTATTTGCAATTTTTTTAAAAGGAAGAATGATTGTTAACCTTTTGCTTCGATGCAGTTTTGATGTTTATTTAATTTAATTATTAAAATATAATATAAATATAATTAATTCTTATATCATATATATAGTTTTATCTTTAAATTTTTTTAATTTTAAATTTAAAAATAATTATTTTTAATAAATATATTATATAATGTATTAAATTAAATAATGTATCAATAAGTGTACTTTTAACAAACTTCAATTGATTATGACCTTGAGATTAATTCTAGACGCAGCAGTTAACATCTCTAAAACAATAAACATGAGGAAACCTGAATACGGAAATCATATTCTATTAGCACCACATGGTGCTGGCCATCTCTACTAATTAATAACAGGATCCTCAAAGAACAGAACATTTTTAGTGATAAAAAGTCATCTTTCCTTTATTTTTTCTTGATTTGTTTAATAATTTAAAGTTTTTCACCTACTGCACACCGCAACCCTTGTTGTACTGGATAAGATGTATATATCCTAAAACTAAAACTTTGGTTTTAATTCTTGTAAACTTCCTTTTCCCATATTTCCCATGTTAAAAAAGAAGAAGAAGAATTTTTCACCTACTATTGTAAGTGCAAGTTTTTTTTTACCTTGAAAATGAAAAATTAGTTTATTGTTCATTTTCATGTCATCTAATGAAAATAAAATAATAGTAATAATAACAATAATAATAAGAAAAAGTGTCCTTTTCGTCTAGACTGATACTGCCTTACAATGATCTTGCGTGTGATGGATGATCATTACAGGCAAAATGCCTTTTCGTGACCGAACTAACATTTAGTTTAATTGTTGTGAAGTGTTTGAATTAATTATTTAAATATATTTAATAATAAATAATTGATTTTTTTTATAATTGAAAATATTTAATTTATTTTGATTGTTCATAAATCATCAAAATAAACATCCCTTGTTTCAATAGTTTTTCTAATAATTACAATAATTATATCAATTGAATGAAGGGTTGATTTGGATTTAAGCATCAATTGGGAAACTTAATTATTGTGCAAAACCCTCACAGATTATAGATGTATATGTAAGTGAAATGTGCACATGCCACATGAAATGAATTGTGCCCACCATCTAAACCCCTTGTGGCTAAGCAATTTGAGGATGTCAAGTAACTTCAAATGTCAATATTACATCCAACAAAGCAAACCACCATAGAAAGGCACCCTACCCCAGCCAGAATACTACCAATACCAAATCATCTCAAATCCAAAAAACCAAACCTATTGAGCTCTACCTATTTCTGCCCCTTTTGGCCCTTGGCACAAATCAACATCCTTTTCACCAAATTGGTAGCATTGTGACTCAACTCTAGGCATGTTTGGATTATACATTCCTTTTTTGTTTTCCTGCAATATCTAGATGACCCCATTAAAAAAAATAGCTAGTAAACACCAACAAGACTTTTATGTTTCACCAACAATAATGTAGTGAATATTGATGTTTTGGGCAAATGATATGATATATAGTGGAGCCACTGTCCTTTTGCATTTCCAAATGGATTGGTCTTGTTTTATATTGCACTCAAATTTGGATCCAAGTTGATAGTCTACATAAATAGTCTCCTATATAGGGAAAGGTTAGTTCTTAATTGCTAAAGAATGAGTAAAAGTGTTTCCAAATGATTACAATGGCGATGATTATAAAGGAAATGATCATGGGAAAATCAGATGGAATTCTCCATAATTAATTGATGTCTTTTCTCCCCCATTTTCTTCTGCTTTATGATCATGGAGGGATGTCAAATTTAGACAACTCTCGCTTTTCTTATGTTGGAAGTGAAGAGAAAAATATCTCTAGTTCTATCTTTTCTTTACTTTTTTTTTTTTTTTTTTTTGACTTAAGGAAATTATTGAAGATATGGAAATAGTGCATGAAAATAGATCTTAAGATTTTCACCGTTCACACATATTCACACAAAGAAAGTGGTCACTAAGTCATATAGTACCAGATTTCTTTTTAACTATTCTTTTTAATGTCCAAACAATTTCATATTTCTTGAAAATCTACAGCATATCCCAGTTTCTGGCGGCCCCTCAATGACAAATGCATTTCCGTACGACAATCATTTTTTAATGTCATTTTGTGCGCTCTTTAATTTTATTAGTTTGATGAGAAGTACATGTGTATAAACTACATATTATATTTATAATCAAATTTCACATGGAACATTTATAATATTGACTAGAAAAAATTTGATAAAAGAAAGAAAGAAAAAAAGACAACATTAAAGTATGGGGATTTATGTTGATGATGTTGGCTTTGTTTTTGCATTAGTGTTTTCAGATCATAATATATGCATCAAGATCAACTTGGTGGCAATGTAAACAACTTTCATGTTTCTTTTAAGACAAAGGATGCTGTGTGCATGGTTGGATTGTGTCGTTTTCAGTGACACAGCCACAGACCATGACCAATAGGTGGCAAAAAAAAAAAGAAGGAAAGTCTTTTTGGTTGAAAGTTAAAACAAACGTTCCAAAGCAAAATTATTAATCATAATGGCTAACGTTGATTTATTTTATTTTATTTTAAGGTGAGTAATGAAAGATAATTTATTTTCATTTCTTAACTCACTTTAGCTACAAACCATTCAAATGAAAAAAAAAAAATGACAACTAAATTGCTTAAATTAAGTTAAAATCTTATTTTGGTCTCTTCATTTTAACAGAAAGTTTTTTTTTAATCTTTCTCCTAAGAAAACCCTCTTTTAATCCTTAAAATTTATTATTTGATCCCTTTTTAATTCCTCCGTTATCTTTTTGCATACATGACATGCTAAATGATGAAAATTCTAAAATAAATAATCTAAAAAGGAGCTTTTTTTCCAAAGTAGAAGTACTAAAAAAGAGCTTGTTTTAATCCCTTTTTAGTCCTTTTACTTCAAAATTTTCATCATCTAGTATATCACTTGTGTAAAAAAATAACATATGCACAAAAAATGAGATAAATAACAAACTTTAAGTATTAAAAAAGAATTTTTTTTTTTAAAGTAGAAAGACTAAAATGTAATTTTACCCATTAAATTATTAGCAACAACGTTGATTTAGTGATTAAAGGACGAAATTATAAAATCATCTTACATCTTAAATCATGACATAAGAAACTACTAAAATCTCAACATGAATTTGATTTGGACTAGATTTAAATTTATAAACTTATTGTGGTACTATTGTTACACACCTAACTGATACAGTGACTTGCAAATCAGGGGGCCGTAGTATATGCTGCCTCTGCTTTTGTGGTCCAAAACATATACACTTCTTCAATGAAAGGATAGATTTCTCTGATCCTTGAAAGCCGTCAGAACTTTCCTAATATTGTGTATGGTTTCCATCTTTTTCGGATGAAGAATTTAGGGAAGCCGTGCTGAAAACGCTCACCTCATCCTCCCAAATTTCCCCTCCCAGCTCATCTTTTTCGTCTATTTTAAATTCTTAATAAAAATACATTGATAAATTGGAAATTGATGAAAGTAGCTCGAGTCTATGGGAAGAATTAATCAGAGAATGATAATGGAGAGGAAAACATAAATTCAAACTCGTATTCTATTGGGTGTAAATTTTTTTTTTTATTTTAATGACAAAACTAATATAAAATCTCTTAGTCAATTAAAAATTATTTATTTGTAGCCTTTTTTTATTAATCTTGAGATATATAATAAATAGGTAATCTTTTTCATATTTTTAACTCATTCGTTCACATGTTATATAATTTAAATTAAAAATATTTTATTTTTACTATAAATAAATTACTATTAAGTTATTTAACTTGTCGATATTATTTACTTATAGTTAATATTACTAAAAGTTGTTAATTTACTAACAATTTATTGATTCAATTAGAAAAATTTTGATTTTTTAAAATAAAATTTTAATTTTATAAATAAAAAGATAATTATTATAAGAGTTTTCTTCACCTATGAGATTCAATTCAATTCAACTTTAAATTCGTTAAAATTTAATATAATTTTTAAGTATCAATGAATTTAGTATAAAACATTATTAATTTAAAAAAATTATTTTACAATCCAATTTATGTACAATGCAAAAATAAAGGCAATTAGAAAGGGAAGAAACCTCCAATTTGGAAAGACCTCCCTTTTTCATAATATATATTATTGTTAAAAGAAGGATATTATAAAGATAATTTTTTTATATTATTTTTTGATATAATTTTTACATATCATTAAATAAGTAGATACATTTAATATTACAAATTTTACATAAATAAAAAGAATTAATTATTTAAATGACATATAAAATTATACTAAAAAATAATTTAAAAAATTATACTAGAATCAATTCTCTTATTAAAATTTGTCGGAATTCCATTGGATTCTGCGTAAATCAGTTGCAACTTGTCAGAAAAGCAATAACAGTTGAACAGTTATTTCTGGTACTGGCGGTGAAAGTGAGGTGAAAATACGTACCATACCCAGTAATGGTAAAAAAACTAAAATACTTCTTGTGAGATGACAATAAATAAAAACAAAAGGACCATATGCAATGATTAAAATAATTTATAGTGTGTGTTGGTCACCAGCTGGAATTGGATGGTTGTGGACATTTCGTCTCCACCCTGCATGCCTTATAGATCCGTGCTCAACAACTATCACAGGAGACGAGACAAATCCAATCCTTAATCACTCAAACTTGCCTCGTTTTAATAGATATGTCTATAAATTAAAAAATAAGTAAATAAGTCCTTCAATCATTTAATTTTAAGCAAATTTAGCCCATCATTAACGCTTATTGATAGTTTCTGATAATTTTTGTTGATGTGGCTTACAAAAGAAAATTATTTTTTGGTGTTTGAAACATTTCAACAAATGTTTTATGAAAATATTTTCTATTGTTTTGGTTCGTAATGAAAATGAAAATATTTTATTTTGTATCTACTTCTTTTTAGTTTATTCTCCATTATGTTGATCAAGGTTTAATTTTATAAAGAGACTAATGAAAAGAATATGAATTTTTTAGTCTCAATATAAATGACTTGTTTTCGATTAAATTAAGAGAAATTAGTTTAAAAATACACATAAATTGGCCAAGAGATACTCTAACAACAAAAAATAATATAAAATAAATCAATTGTAAGAACCCAAAAATGAATGAAAAATTATTCAAGAACAATAATTTTATATCACATTTTGATACAACTTTATATGTTATTTAAAATGATTGATTTTTTTAATTTATTTGAGATCCATCGTATTAAATACATCTACTCATTTAATAACATATGAAATTGGGGTTAAGGGATCTTAATATTCAAAAACAAAGAATCACATCCTAGGATGGAGAGAGCTAGGGTTCGAGCGAGGGGTGCGACGACCAGGGAAGGTAGCTTTTCCAGACGACGACAAGGGCAAACGTGGTGGGATGAGTGATTTAGGAATAGGGCTTCGGAGTCTCCAATGGTGTTCTTCTTCTACAATTTCCTAGAAGAGTTGGCTGCAGTAGATTTATGGCGTAGGTTTAAGATGCATGGGTGAGTAGTGGATGTGTATGTGCCAGGAAAGAGGGATAAATGGGGGAAAAGGTTCGGTTTTGTTCGCATATTAGGTGTGTAGAATGTGTATAAATGGAGAAACGACTAAATGGGATTTGGTTCGGTTTGCACAAGCTGCGAGTGAAAGTTGTTGAAGATAGGCAGAAGAGATTCTTTGCCAATCAAAGAAAAACAAGAGTTGCAGTTGCAAGGAGGAAGGAGGAAGGACAACTTGGTTCGGCCATAGCAATCTTATGCCCAAGTTGTTGCAGGAAAGAATCAAAGTTCCGAAAGGCCATTTGTGGGAGGTCGGCAGGACAAAGCTTTGGCTGGTGCAGTGGTGATATAGCATCCTGTCCCGAATTCAATTTTAGAGAATGAAGAGGCTGGTTTTTATGTTAAGCAAAGAGGTGATAAATCATATCAAAGTTCTAAGGATTTTATTGAGTTTTCTCCTAAAAAAGGGGGGAATAAGTGGTTAGATGGAAGTATGGTGGCTGAGGTGAGATCATTGGCGTTGATAACAGTAATTCAAGCAAGGTTGGATGTTGATGGGGGGTGCATTACTCTATCACCTTTAGGAGGTAAAAGGGTACTGCTAATTGAAAATATAGAGGGTTATTTGCTTAAATACATGCAGCAAAATAAGGAGTTGATTGATATGTGGTTTGTGTCAATATTACCATGGGCAATGGCAACTCAAAACTGTCGTAGAATGGCATGGTTACACATATCTAGGGTTCCATTGAAGGCGTGGACTAATAGATGTTTTCATATGATTGCAGTTTCAGTTGGGGAAGTGATAGTAGTTTATGATGATACAAAGACAAAAGCCATTTTGTGTGATGGTAAAGTAATGATTTTGTCACTAGAAATGGATAAGATATCTAAAACAGTCAAGATGAAAGTAGACGATCAAATGTATGAGATTAGGGTGGAAGAGGAAGAATGACGTTCAAATCTTGATTGGTGGTTGTTGGAAGGTGATCAAAAAAGTACATCGGAAGCTGAATTGGAATATTCATCATCACTAAATATGGACGAGGATCTTGAATTGATGAATTATGAGATTCAGGGGGCAGATGCTGGTACTATGAATAAGGAAGTGCTAAAGGAGGCAAGTATTTTGAATTTTAACGAGAATTCTGTAAAAGTTGGTGAGGACAATTTTTGGATGGAGCAACGAGAATGTTGTTGAGTGGGTGATGATGTTGGGCCAAATAAGGAGAGAATTGGAGGGGTTGATGAGGTTGGGCCAAATAAGGAAAGAATTGGGCCACGTAGGGGTGAGTTCAATGGGCTTAAAGATGATGTAAGAGCGGATGAGGTTTGGACAAATGGACAGGGTAATGAGAAGGGGATTCGGGTAGGCCAATGTAGTAAGAGAGAAAGGGTCAATGCGGCAAATACCAAGGAGATAAGGCCAGATTGTGAGTTGGGGAGTTCTGTTTTGCTTGGTAGAAAGCAACGAGATCTTGAAGACTATTGCTTACAGAATTGGCTAAAAATTGAGGAGGTGAGCACCCAGTGGGTCACAGGTAGATCGAAACAAAGAGAAGGGCGTAGAAAGAAGGCACAGCAAGCTGCAGAGGAAAGAGTCGTGCGTGCAGGAAGTGGGTCTTTCTTGGACCGATGTATCACACATCGAAACCAAGTAATTCAAAGGGAGATGAATCTAAATGAGGTTAAGAAGATGCTTAGTGTTGGGAAGAGGTTGGGGATTTAGTTTCAAACTAATGAAGAGGAGGTGGAGTCTAGGTTATTGGTGGCTGAAGGGGGGGACGCAGTGCAGAGGAGCTGATTGCCGGGGTTTACCGAGGGGTAGGGTGAGTGGGTTGTGGGTTCTTAGTGTTGATGAAGCTTTTATCCTTTAGTGTGAGAGGGTTAGGAGGTATGGTTAAAAGGAAGGAAATGGATAGATTGATAAGAATTGAAAAACCAGGTTTTCTTTTCTTACAGCAGACTAAATTGGAGAAGGTGGATGATAGGTTATGCCGCTCAATGTGGAACTCAGATGGGTGTGATTGGATAATGAAGGAATCGAAAAGTGCATCAAGGGGTTTGCTCTGTGTTTGGGATAAAATGAAATTTGTTAAAAAGGGGGAGTTCACAAGTGACAGGTTTTTGGGTATAACAAGGGAATGGGAATCAACAAAGGAGAAGTGTCATTTGATGAATGTGTACGCTCCACAAGATAGATAAAAAAAAAAAAAAGCAATGTTGTGGGACGAGCTGAAGCATAGGATTGTTGAGGTAGAAGGACGATGGTTGGTTGCATGCGATTTAATGCTGTGAGAAATGTTGAGGGAAAAAGGGGCATAATAGAGGATAATTTAGTAATGGGGGATTTCAATACTTTTTTTGAGACAACAGGACTTGTTGATTTGAGATTGGTGAATAGGCATTACAAATGATACAAACCAAATGACTCATCCATGAGCCGACTGGATAGATTTTTGTTGACATTAGAGATGTGTAGTATGGGTGGTGAGTGGGTTCAGAAAGGGTTGGAAAGAACAATTTCAGATCATTGTGCTATTACTTTGATAACCAGATTAGCTGATTAGGGTCCAAAGCCATTCAGAGTATTAGATGCTTGACAACAGCATCCATAGTTCAAGAAAACAGTTGAGGAAGCATGGCACGGGATGAAGGTGGATGGTTTTGCAGGACATAAATGTTTACACAAGCCGAAGCTATTGAAAGAATTTCTAAGGGACTAGAATAAGAATGTGTTTGGGAATATGAATGCTCATTTCAATAGTACAGTAAAGAAGATTGAACAAGTGGATTTGCAGGATGAAGATTTTGATTTAGACGATTTTAAATTTGAGCAACAAAAAGAAGGATTTTAGGAGTTGTGGTCAATTTTGAAGAAAATAGAAGCTATATGGTGACAAAAATCAAGGAGTACTTGAGTGCAATTGGGTGATGCTAATATAGGATTTTTTCATAGAGTTGCTAATGGAAGGAAGGCTCAAAATAGTATTACAGGCATTTTCTATGATGGTATGTGGGTGGAGGAACCAGAGGTGGTAAAGAAACAAGTGGTTGGCTACGTTTAGCAGTTATTTCAAGGGGACTCTTGGACTCGACCCAAGTCAGGTGGTATTCATTTTAGGCAAATAACAAATGAGCAGAAAGAATGGTTAAAAAGGCCATTTACTGTAAAGGAGATTGAAGAAGGCTTGAAAAGTTGTGAGGGACATAAAGCACCAGGGCCAAATGGATTAATTTCAAATTTATCAAATTTGTGTGGGATATTTTGAAGGATGATTTTGTTGATTTCTTTCAGGAGTTTTATCAGCATGGAAGGTTGGTAAGGCGATTATATTCATCTTTTTTAACTTTAATCCCTAAGAAGATGAATCCGCTAAAATTAAAGGATTATTGACCTATTAGTTTGATTGGGTGCAGTCATAAATTGTTGGCTAAGGTGTTGGCTAACAGATTAAAGACTGTTATGTCAAATATTATTAGTGATACTCAATCTTCATTTCTGGGGGAATGCCAACTAGTTGATAGTGTGTTAACATTGAATGAAGTTGTTGATGAGGCTAGGAGGAGGAAGCAACAGGCTTTTGTTTTAAAAGCAGATGTTGAGAAGGCTTATGATTATGTTGATTGGTCTTTTTCGAATTGGATGATGGATAAGTTTGGTTTTGGGAGTCAGTGGAGAGGATGGATCAAGGAGTGTCTCTTTACAGTGAGAGTTTCAATTCTTGTAAATGGAAGCCCGACAGTGGAGTTTCAGATGGAAAAGGGATTAAGGTAAGGAGATCCTTTGTCTCCTTTTCTTTTCTTGATGATTGGTGAGGGATTGCATGGTTTAGTTAAGAAGGCAGAGATGGAAGGTTTGTTGCATGGTATTGAGATAAGCAAGCGAGGGTTGGTAGTTTCTTTGCTCCAATTTGCGAATGATACAGTTATTGTGGGTAGAGCAAATAGTGGGAATATTTTTATGGTTAAAACAATTTAAAGATGGTTTGAGTTGTTGTTCGGGTTGCGAATTAACTTTCGAAAAAGTAGTGTCTATGGTCTGAATGTATCAGAGAGTTGGTTAAATGGAGCATCAAATGTGTTAAGTTGTGGAGTGGGGAAATTACAATTTCTTTATTTGGGCATGCTTGTGGGAGGAAAACAAAGAAGTAAAAAGTTGTGGGATCCGGTTATACATAAAGTCCATCTCAAGCTTGTTGTATGACAGTCCGCTGTACTATCTTTTGAGGGTCACATCACTCTACTCAACTCGGTACTTTCTGCACTCCCTACTTTTTATATGTCTTGGTTTTTTATGCTGAAATCTGTGGTTTCTGAATTGACTAGCATACAAAGGGATTTTCTATGGGGTGGGGCTGAGTTAAAGAGGAAGATTCCTTGGGTAAAGTGGGAGTACGTGTGTTACAGTAAGGAGAAAGGTGGGTTGGGGGTGTCAGATTTGAGTATAAGGAATTGGGCATTATTAGGAAAGTGGTGGTACAGATTTGGTGAGAGTTTGGAGCATTTATGGAAAAAGGTGATAAGAGAAAAATATTATAAGGGTAGACAGGAGGTAGCTATCACTGCAGTGGAGGATTGGAAGGTGTCTAGAGTATGGGGGGATGTCATGCGGATAAGAGGAATTTTTGTGCAGTTAAGAGAGATGTTGGCAAAGGGGTTTAGATGGGGGGTCGGTGATGAGATGGGGGGTCAGTGATGAATGAAGGATTGGGTTTTGGAGAGATATTTGGGTGGGTAATAAGTCTCTAAGCGAATTATGTCCTCGATTGTTTGCGTTGAGTGCTAATAAAGAGAGCATGGTTGGTAAGATGGGGTTTTGGGAAGGGGATAAGTGGTGTTGGCGATTAGAATGGAGAAAAGGTAAAATGGGACGAGAGAGGGATGGGGAGAAGTTGCTGTGGGAGGTGTTGGGTAAAGTGCGACTAAAGCAACAAAAGGAAGACTGTTGGAAGTGGGCGCATGATCCTAAAGGAAGGCATGTTGTGAAGATGGCCTATGAGTTTTTAGCTCCTAGGGAGGGTGTTCTTCAGGGTCAGTTATGTAAGTTGGTTTGGTGCAAATTAGTGCCTTCAAAGGTGGCTTTCTTTGGGTGGAGACTATGTCTTGATCGACTTCCAACTAAGTTGAATTTAGAAAAAAAGAGGGGTGAATCTACATGGGGAAAGATTACTGTGTAGTTTGTGCAGTGAGAGGGTGGAGGAAGTAGACCATTTATTTTGTACATGTAAGGAAGCTTGGTTAGTTTGGGCAAAGGTGTTACATTGGTGGGCTATAGGAGCTGTGTTGTCGAATTTAGTGGAGGGTGTTGCGGAATTTTTCAGTATAGTGTGGGTAGGATAGTAAGGAAGGAGATGAGTTTGTGCATTTTCCTTATTGTCTCTTGATATTTGTGGTTTTGGAGGAATGCTTGTGTGTTTGAAAATAATGGGAGTTATAGGGAGAGAATGTTGGATATGGTACAGGTTAAGTTGTTTACTTGGGTTAAGAATAAGTTATCTGGTTGTGTTTTTTCATTCTATGATTGGAAAATAGATCCAATGGGTTGTGCTTTGGCGGTCAAAAGGCATAAAATTCAATTGAAGTTGTATTTGAAGCAGCAACAAGACCATGTCTTATGTGTATATTGGAGGCTTGTTTATGTGATGGTTGCTAGATTTGTGCAGTTACATTGATGATTGTTTCTCAATTTCTATTGTGCTTGTTGCAATCCTTTTTAATTTTGTAAATAAGTTGGAGTACCCCTTGTACTTCATATAATAAAATTTTCATTTTGCCTATCAAAAAATAACATATGAAATTGTATAAAAAGATTATGCAAAAAAATTGTTCTTATATCGCTATTTAAAATAAATATAATATAAAGGTTGTCTTTTTTTTTTTTTTAGAGAATAAAGTTGTAGTTTTCATGTCTAAAGGCCTCAGAGATTGAAGCCCCCCAATGAAGAGAAATTCATGTGTTTATGTGTTGTTTAGTTTGTGATTTCAACTAAATTCAAGTTAGTTTGACACTTTAATGATTAAAAAGAAATACAGAAATTTCACGTGTTTTTTAGGATAATAACTTTTGAAATTTTTTTTCCAAAATTATTTTCTAAGATTTTATAAACAAAATTTTTAATTGACTTTAAAAATTTTCTATTAACTATGATTTTTTGTGTATATCAAACACTAGAAGAATGAGGAAAATATTTTTTGGAAATTAATTTTTGTGAACCAAACAAATCCTTAGTTGCTAATTTCATTTAATTAGCACATTGATGCATCAACGTCATGCATTCCTTTTAATTGTCACGTCACTTGATCTGTTAACAAAAGGCTAATGTGTTACAATTTGTGTGGTTCAAGGACTTATTTACTTGTTTGTTTTATTATAGGGGGCTAAATGCGAAAATATTGTAAGTTTAATGGTTTATGGAATGGTTTTGCACACAGGAGATTCCACTGTTCTTTGGCTAAATATTCTTCTTTCTTTTCTTTTCCTTTTTTTTTTAAAAAAAAAATTATTTTTATGAATTTTCTATTTTCCTTTCATTTTCTTGTTCACCTTTTTTCACTTTATATTCCCCCTACGATATGTGTATCAGCCCTCTCCGTTCACCTACTCCAGTCTCAATAGTTCTTAGGTTCTACTCTTCTTACTTTTCTTGCCCTGCTGAGGTTCTGCTGGAAATTTCCCAGGAAAATCTTAGCCCTTTTCCTCTGTTTCCCCTGCGTCACTCCTCTGTGGGAGGTGTTGTTGATCCTTTTCGGGGATTTGGTTTTTGGGTTTTTGGGGTTGATCTTGGGTTTCTGGGTGTGTACTGGAAAACCCAGAAAGTCAAAGTCCAGAAAGATTGCATCTTGAGGGCAAAGATTTGATCTTTCTTTGTTGCCAATCGTGAAATCTTGATGCTGCATATTTTGTTTTTGATGTTTGATATTCATGTCAGCAGTTCTTAGTGAAATCCTCCGTTCTGGTTTTATGATCGATTCCTCACTGAGACGCAGGACCCATCTTGTTCAATCTTTCTCTGTTGTGTTCCTCTACTGGTTCTATGTTTTCTCAGAATTCATCTATGAGATTTGCTTCGGATCATACTTTATTTAGAAATAAGTCAACAACTACTTTGATCTTTGATTAGCTTAGCATAGGTTGTATCTGGGTCCTGTTGTTCTCCAAGGTAAGTTTTTTTATCTTTAAAATCTAAGGTCTTTTTTATTTTTGAGAGTTTTTAGGTCTTTTAAGTGTGAATATAGTATGGCTTCTTTAAGTGGGAATTCCAATTCCACAAGCTCCACTCAGATTCAAAACTCTGGCTCCGAAGGGGACTTGCAGCTTCTGATGGATCAAAGGAAGAGGAAGCGAAAAGAATCGAATCGGGAATCAGCTAGGAGATCCAGGATGAGAAAGCAGAAGCATTTGGATGATTTAATGGCCCAAGCTTCTCAGCTGAGAAAGGACAACAACCAAATCCTTTCAACCATCAATATTTCCACTCAGAACTATGTGAAACTTGAAGCTGATAACTCTATTTTGAGGGCTCAGATGGTGGAACTTAGCCAACGACTGGATTCCCTTAACGAGATCCTCTCCTTGATCAACACAAGCAATGGAATCTATGAAAATGAGGGTTTTGAACAAAGTTTTGACAGCTTCATCAACCCTCTCAATATGCCATATCTTAATCAACCAATTATGGCCTCTTCAAACATGTTCCCTTATTGAAATGGTCAATTCATATCATAATAGTTTGTCTTGTCCTTTTATTGGTGGAGTCACATAGATAGAGTCTCATGAATGAGTGGAGTGCAAAAAAGAGAGGGTTTTTTTCCCCTCTTAATATTTTTAATTTTATTATGATATTATTAGCTATACTAGTAGCCACTTGATGCAAAATATTCCTCAATATGGAATGGTAAATTGGGAGATAGCCGGAGAAAGAGTTGTTTCACTTGTCAGGGAGAAACTCATAGGTTAGTGGCTTGGGTTTTGTAATGGGTTTCAATAAATAAAATAGTGTGAAGGGATCTGGATGTATTTGGTCTCTCTGGATATATAAATATATATTAATATTAATTTGCGTCACTTATTTTGTGTTTTCTTTCTTGTTGGAAATAATAATTTACAGCTTTCTCTGTTCTTGTATGCAAATGACAAAGAACTCTGTTTTGCCTTTTTTCCCCTTGTTTTTTGGTTGAGGAAAGTGACAAGCGTAAATGTTATCGCTGTTGTTTTGCTACTTAAAGGGTATTCTCGACTTCACCGCTCATATTAGATTTGCTTGTTCAATCCTTCCTCTATGTCAAGAACTTGAGTAATGGATCACTATTTTTCTTGCATATCTGAGTGGTTTTTTAACTCTTTTTACGAGACATGCCTACTGGTTGAACATTTTGTGGGAGAGAGGGTAAGAGAAAATTTGAATCAAATCTTGTCTATATAAGTGAGGAAGCGCGTTTTTACTAATAATTTGACCAGTTACTTTATAAGCCTTTTTTGCATATCTAAATTATATGATAAGAAATAATCTATTTGATTCCTATAAGATTCAAACACTAGACATGTGAGTTTGATTTAGGAGATGAACTTTTGTTTCTTTGATAATTAGCAACAGTCATGTTCCGTCTTAAATGATTAGATACCGCACCTTCAAGAATGATCCTTTGCCTTAATTGGATGACGTTACTTTCTTTCTAGATTGAAAGAAACTCTTCAAGAATCAAGCAACATACTTTCTCACCTAAGTAACAGCTGTTCATTCCGTTCATTTCTTTAAGCATAGAATGGCATTTTACAAGGGTTGGATGCCATTTGTGCTTTTTTTTGCAGACCACATAAGGAAGTTTTTTTATGTCAATTTCCTCATGCTTGAAGCCATGATCAAGGACTATTCATTTTCTCTTAACAAATCTGTATGAGACATTAGGTTAACATTTTGGTCCCATATAGATATAAACCTTGGCAATTGACTATTTTATATCCATGAATCTTGTTCTTCCATGTCAGACACACACCTGTATCAGACACCACTAGTCCATGTATTGTCAGCATGACATTCACCATTTGCAATTTAGAGCATGAAGATGGCAATCTTAATGCTGAAAACCCTCCTAGCATCATTCATAGGAATTCAAAAGTCAAGTTTATTGGAGAACTCCTCAAGTCTTTTTTCTCTTTGTTTCTAGGCAAAGAGAAAAAAAAAGGAAATTGGAGTTGTTTGATCAACAAACCAATGTGAACTATGTGGAGGAAGCCAGCACATCTATTTTCGTTCCCATCTAAGTACTCTTCATAAATTAGAGTGCAACTAATATATTGTAAAAAATCATCATAGGATGAAATTGAGTATTATATCATAGAAGAAACAAAGTAAAAGGCTCAGCCCATTATTCCATTTTCTTCCCACTATATTGATTGCTGTTCTGTTTGCTTTTACATATCAATTTTTGTCTTTGCTGGTTAGCTATAGTTCAATGTACACGGTATGGAATCCTGCTTCAGTCGTTTTCCTATTTGAAATCTAGGTTTGAATTACCCAATAAGCTACATGGAGCTTTACTAAGGCTCAAAATAAGACAATATTGATGACTTGTCTTTGATTAAATTAACGAAAATGATGAGTAGATATAATAACTACAAACAATGTTAATTTCTTATTGAAAATCTAAATGAATTTTTTAATAAATTACTTAGAGTTTTATTAAAATTTACTAAGACAATTTTAATGATCTATCTTAATTAATTTAGAAAAGCAATCACTAGACAAAACAACAACATAAAACTTAAAATTGTTCTTCAACCTTTGAATCTTAAGACCAAAGTGGTCCTAATATTAAGAAATAAGAATAAGGGCAATATGTTCTTGCTCGAAGTTCCATTTTGGTGGGTTGGCATATTCCCTTCGATTATTAGATTATTTGAGACTTTGCTTATCAGATTCCATAGTGCTTATCAATAACAAAAGGAACAAAAAGGAAATCAATTTAGTGTAACTTTAAAGTGGATACAAATAATGACGAAAAAGTGAGTCAAATTGAAGAAAGTAGGTGACTTTAGGTGTGTGGAAGAAATTTGTATTGAATAAAATGGTTTTAAGAAGAAGCAAAGCAGGTGAAATCCTCCCTTGTCAATGCTTGTGTTTTGATTGCATATTACCATGTTAGAAAAATGAAATTTCAACAACTAATTAGTTTAATTAATCGCCATGATGATAGCATTAGCCATTAATCAGGGATTTAACATTCTGAAAGTTGAAAGGTTTCTATATCTCAATAGGTGAATTATCATTGAAGCCAGAACTTATTTAGTAGAGGATTTTGAAATGATTTTTTTTAGGGATATTTTGATGTTTTTAGGTATCTAGCATGAAGGGAAACACCAAGTATGATGTAAAACGAAAATGACATACCCACCTTCATATATATTTAAAAAATCAAACTTTGCTTCTTTTTTTTATGTAAAATAATGAAATAATTGTGTGTAAAGGAGAAACCATTCAATCATCTCAAACAATCATGATTCATGACTCTGGTATATCCGACACAGTATCAGTTTAGTACCTCATTGGTTCTGAATAAGGTAGACAATATAGAGAGAGACAGTTGTTTATCCGAAAATGACGATCCAAATTTCACTAGGTCACAATAACATGATACAGGAAGTTAGAAACGTCAACGAAATTGATCACATGTTTTGACGGAAAAAGAAGCTTCATTCAATGTAAGAACAGAAAATCCTGGTTTACATCTAATTATGCTCAACTGGAATTTGGACATATGCTGCTTTACAAATGTAGGGAACATCAGCATACATACCAACAAGAGCAAACCTCATGCACTCCAAGACAGTGAACAGGAAACCAAAAAGGAAGATTGTCCAGAACTACATCCCAATGTTACCCCAGTAGACTGCACCAGGGGTCACCTGGTTCAAAGCTCCTGTTACGTGCAGGGCAATCTCCAGTAACAAATCCATCACCACATGAAATCGGAAGAAGTGAGGCCATTCCTGCCTCCTCACGACACAGAGATATCCAACGACAAAGTATGCCAGAAAGGGCCATCTTGGTAACCTCCCAAGAGCTTCAAGAAATGGGGAGGTCCATGATTCAAAGGCTTCCAAGAAGGGGTGTAGATTATATGCTGTCTCGGCATACATCCATGACTGGTGGAGAGGCAATAAATAGGGGAGGCATGCCAAAGTCCACCACCATCTCGGTTTCTTACTCATTGGAGGATAGCTGAAACCCTTAAAAAAATCCTTTGATGCTTGGGGAACCAGATTAGATCTGCTTTGAAATGTAAGGAATTGGGTATGACAGACCACCATGATCCCCACTCAATAGTGGGGCTGATGCAGCAGAAAGGTGCAATAGATGCAGACCTACAAAACAGAATATGATATATAGAGACATAAGACCTATATTTTTAGACAATCATAAAGCAACACCTAACAATATGAACAAGCCAACACTCAGATAAAGAATGTTCAGCTTTCTATAACAGCTAATTAAATTGCAATGTGTGGTAACAGCTTAACATGTGATAACTTAAAAAGAGAACTCGAATAACTATATTACCTCTAACCGGAGAGGATTTAGAATCCTGATGTGGCTCAGCAGGTAAACGAGGAATGGATGGGAAAGCAGAGCTGCCTGGAATGGGCTTTGATGACCTTGAACTCACGAAAACACACCCAGAAGGCATGGTGCATGCATTCAGAATCATGATCAGTTACTCTGCTGAAGACGAATAAGAACAAACCATGAAAATTGATCAACCAGGAATTCTCCTGAGAATTGTATATATCACTCATTCTACCATGCTATGGTATTTGATTTAAATATGTTCAGAACATAACAGTATAACACTAAATCACTAATATCAAACAAAACATTTGCTAATGAATTTTGGTAATTTACTCCATAAACAGACAACTACTACCTATTTAGATACTCCCTCCCCTATTTTATGGTTAAAATCCAATTCAAAGACAGGACCTACACGGTAAAAAAAATCAATCCCTAAAATGTTTGGTCATCCTCCAGCAGAAAAAACCACAAGGAAAAAAGTTTCTGAACCACCACTGCATTATCATTATCATCCCATGGCCGTTAACATAGCCTCGCACACACACTGACTGCAACAATTAACAATAGCTGAAATTAGGACTTAGAACACGTATAACCAATCTCAGTCTCAACTAACAAACTGCAAAATGAAAAAGAACATCTACTATGGTGCGAGTCACATGAAAAACACAAACACCCAAAAACATTGCAAAGAAAAAAGGCAGAAACTTTCGGCGATTCAAACTCATATTAGGTCATAAATTTGTGCAACAATGCTAATTTCGTTGATTCTCAAGCAAAATTTAAAGAAAAACTTAAATATCATAGAATGCAGAATCGATTGAAAAATTCATAACCCCTTCTTAGCAATTTGCTCAGTGACCAAACAAAAGGATACTAAATCGAGTTCAGGCAAAGAAAATATAGCAAACCTGTGACGGCTCACACCCCAGACCTTAAAAGAACTGAAATTCTACTCTGCCATTTTTGGGTACCTCGCTCGCGGTTTCATCATCATTAACCAGTTTTCTCTCACCAGAGCAGGGCGTCGATTTTTCGTTGTGGGTTAGAATTCAGAAGATAGGCGGGCTTGTTTAGGCCCGAACCTGGAGACCCAATTGTTGCGAAAGGTAAGGGAACCATGATTTGGCCCAAAAGTGTCATCTCTGTCTATATCCCGGTCGTTTACATGATTGGGTTGGAGAGAGCATCCC